AAAACCGGAAGTGGCGCTGTAGCTCAAGTGGTAGAGCGCTTGCCTTGAGCTGAAGAGCTGAGGGACAGCACTCAAGGCCCAGAGTTCAAGCCCCACGACCAACCAAAAAAAAAAAGAAAGAAAGCTCGCATGAGAGAGCTGGGAATGTGGCTTAGTGGTAGAGTGCTTGCCTAGCATGAAGCCCTGGGCTCAATTCCTTAGTACCACATAAACAGAAAAGGCCTGAAATGGTGCCGTGGCTCAAGTGGTGCTAGCCTTGAGCAAAAAAGAAGCTCAGGGACAGAGCCCAGGCCCTGAGTTCAAGCCCCAGGACTGGCAAAATAAAAGAAAGAAAGAAAAGAAAAGAAAAAGAGAAAAAAAGACATATTTAAAAAAGAAAAAGAAAGGTCGTGCGCCAGTGGCTCATGCCTATAATTGTAGCTACTCAGGAGGCTGAGAAATGAGGATCACAGTTCAAAGCCAGCCCAGTCCGTGAGATTCTTATCTCCAGTAAACCACTAGAAAACAAAAGTCCTGCTGTGACTCAAGCGGTAGAGCGCTTACCTTGAGCTGAAGGGCACAGGGACAGCATCCAAGCCCAGTGTCCAAGCCCCATGACCGACAAAAGAAAAAAGAAAAAATGAAAATCTATAAGACTCTAATCTCCAATTAACTAGCAAAAAGCTGAAAATGGAAATAGGGCTCAAGTGGTAAAGTCAGTCTTGAGAGGATTAAGGCCCTGAGTTCAAAACCCAGTACTGGCACTAAAGGAAGAAGGAAATTAACTTTTAGAATTGTGAGAACTGGAAATGTGTGTGATTCATACCGTATATTCAATAAATTGTCATCATTGTGACTGGAACACTGGAATTTGTATCTTTCGAGAAAATTTGAGGTTGTTGAATGTATCTAATGCCACAGTTTGTCAGAGTGTGAGTTGTACTTGCTTTTTTTTTGGGGGGGGGTCCAGTCGTGGGGCCTGAACTCTGAGCCTGGGCGCTGTCCCTCAGCTCTTCAGCTCAAGGCTAGCACTCTACCACTTGAGCCACGGTGCCACTTCCAGCTTTTTTCTTTTTATTTATGTGGTGCTGAAGAATGGAACCCAGGGCCTCAGGCATGCAAGGCAAGTGTTCTACCACTGAGCCAACTTCCCAGCCCCTGTACTTGCTTTTCTGAGCAATAAAAATATCCTCCTCAACATACCATGTGAACACTCAAGGTTTGGGCACCATGTTAAATCTACAGCCTCTACCCACTTTCCACTCATTTCAGAATCTTAGTAAATGTATTTCACAACATATCATAAAATGGCCAACTTGTTGCTACAGAGTTCTACACGTTAAGATTTTGGTCCTCCTATCTTTGTATCTCTTAGTCACTTTGGTGAGCCATATGGCTGGATGATAAATCAATTTGTCAACTCGTATAGATTTACCAGTTGAAATAAAACACATCTAAATTCCTGAGGCTTACATAATCACGGTACAGCAGAGACCAATCTACAAAAACCGAAATGGTTTTTGAATTTTTTTCAGCCAAAGAATGGCATTGCAAGAAAGCTGTAATTATAATAAGGACCAAGAAACAAATTCCACTGTCACGAAAAGTCACTCCGAAGCCGGGCGCCAGTGGCTCACGCCTGTAATAGGATTACTCAGGAGGCTGAGATCTAAGGATCTCGGTTCAGAGCAGCTGGGGCAAGAAAGTCCCTGAGACTCTTATTTCCAATAAGCCACTAGAAAACCAGAAGTGACACTGTGGCTTAAGTGGTAGAGCGCTCACCTTGAGCTGAAGAGTTGAGGGATAGTGCCCAAACCCAGAGTTCAAGCCCCATGACCTACAAAAAAAAAGTCACTCTGTAGCTCATTTTATTTAATTTTTGTGTGGGTACTAGGATTTGAACTTAGGCCTTGTGTGCTAAACCTTGAGCTTTTTCACTCAAAGCTGGCTCTCTACCACTTAAGCCTACTTCCATTTCTGGCTTTTTTGTTGGTTAATTGGAGATAAAACTCTGATGGGCCTTCCTGTCCAGGCTGCTTTCAAACTACAATCCTCAGATCTCAGCCTTCTGAGTAGCTAGGATTCTAGGTGTGAGCCACTGGCGCCCAGCTGTGTAGTTCATTTTTAATGCTAAACTATTGGCCAGAGTCTACTTAACATGTAAGATCATAAAGTCTCATTTATATAAATAAAGGTAGAAAACCTTCAGCATTTGACATAGAGTGGTTTTACCTGAAACTGATTTGGAAGGTGATGAGTTTGTGTAGAATGAGACTATCTAAGTGAAAGCAACCTATTTATCTTCTATTTTAGTGTGTGTATGTGTGTGTCCTGGGGCCTGAACTCGACCTGGGCGCTGTCCCTCAGCTCTTCAGCTCAAGGCTAGCACTCTACCACTTGAGCCATAGCGCCACTTCCGGTTTTTCTGTATATGTGGTGCTGAAGAATTGAACCCAGGGCCTTATGCATGCAAGGCAAGCACTCTACCACTGAGCCACCTTCCCAGGCCTCCCAATCCATTTTTATGGAGTAGTTTATGATATAGGCTCAGGCTTCTTACTAAAATAGAACATAAGGGGCTGGGAAGGTGACTCAGAGGTAGAGTGCTTGCTGTGGCCCTGTGGCTCAAGTGCTAGAGAGCCTCTCCTTGGGCTGAAGAGCTCAGGGAAAGTGCCCAAGCCTAGAGTTCAAGCCCCACAACCGACCAAAAAAAGTAATAATAATATATTGGGAATAACTGGAAATGTGGCTTAGTGGTAAAGTGCTGTCTAGCATGTATGAAGCCCTAGGTTCGATTCCTCAGTACCACCTAAATAGAAAAAGTCAGAAGTGGCACTGTGGTTCAAATGGTAAGAATGCTAGCCTTGGGCAGGGTCAGTGCTCAGGCCCTGAGTTCAAGCCCTAAGACTGGCAAAAAAAAGAAAAAAAAATATTTTGGGAACTGGGTGCCAGTGGCTCATGCATGTAATCCTAGCTACTCAGGAGACTGAGATCTGAGGATCATGATTCAAAGCCAGCCAGGGCAGGAAAGTCCATGAGACTGTTATCACCAATTAATCAAAGAAGAAGCCGGGAATTGGCACAATAGCTTAAAGAGTGCTAGAGAAGGAACTCAGGGACAATGCCCAGGCCCAGAGCTCAAGCCCCAGGACCAGCAAAAAAAAAAAAAAAAATGGTATTGGGCCTACATCAGAATTCATTGAATTTTCCAGTACAATAATCATGGTTAATAATTCATAATTAATCTAGTAGCAGCTAAGTCCATGTCTTAAATACATCTTATTAATAAAGCATTTCAAATATGCATATATGGGGCACTACCTATAAACAATACTGGTGAGTGGGGGTAGAGCACTAAATGCCCTATATATATACATTTTTCCCCTCTTGGAAAATTCTTGCCCCTGGGCAATTCTTAGGAAGCATTGGCTCTCGAGAAATGCAGACCGGAGCCCGCCCATGTGCTGTGATCTCTGGATGCAAAGAGGACCTGGCAGAGACAAATGGGCTGTGAGGAGCCGAGGCAGTGGGCATTTCCTTCCATATTCCTGCTTGTGTAATAGAAGGCCGGTTGACAGCCTAGTCCATGACAGTGTAAATGTGGAAGTGCTTTGTAGACTGTAAAATAGAAGCTGAAGAGACTGTTAAGATAGAATTGCCTTTCCTTGCTTCTCAGCCCAGGCAGGGCCTGCAGGTACCAGCAGCCCTCTCCCTACCCCATGAGGATGGACAGACACAATTAAGTGGTTGTGAAGCAAGAGATAGGACAAGGGCCTTCTCAATCTGTCCTCCAGCCCAGCTCACTCCGGGCACCCACTGAAATCTTCCAATAGAATAATCAGGATTAATTAGCAATCATGATTAATCATGCTAACTTGCTATTTTATGAACCTTGAGATCGGCAGAGACTTGAGGGTAATTATTCCTGGTGTTTTCTTTTGTCCCAGTACTGGGTCTTAAACTCAGCCCCTCCTAGTCTCATTTGGCTTTTTTGCTTAAGGCTCATGCTCTGCCACCTAAACCATACCTCCACTTCCAGCTTCTTTGCTGATTCATTGGAGAATGAATCTCCCAGACTTTTCTGCCCCTGCTGGCTTTGAATCGTGATTCTCAGATCTCAGCCTCCCAAGTAGTTAGGATTACAGGCGTGAGCCACCAGGTCCCAGCTTAGGATTCTTTTGTATAAAGTGCCTCTGGAAAGAAAAATTAGTAAACTGAAACATGGAATACATAGCTTTCTCTGAGCCTGTGGTCAGAAAAAGCACCTGCTGCATAAAAGGGCCGTTTCTCCTTCGTCTTCTCTCCTGTCTATTCTGTTGTTCTCTCCTGTCTTCTATTCTGTTGCTGACAGCAGAGCAGAGTGCGCAGCTGCGCATGTATTCCACAGATGGAGAGTCAAGAATCTTGCCTGTAAGCCAGCGAGGAGCTGATGGCTCATACCAGTAATCCTAACGACTCCAGAGACTGACATCTGGGGATCAGGACTCAAAGTCAGCCCAGGCAGGAAAGTTCATGAGATTTTTTTCTCCAGTTAACCACCAAAAAGCCTACATGGTGCTGTGGCTCAAGTGGTAGAGTGCTGGCCTTTAGCACAAAAGCTGAGGGACAGCGCCCAGGCCCTGAGTTTAAGCCCCAGAACCAGCACATAAATGAAAAGACCTATAAACCAAATCGTCCTGGGTCCCTTCTGTGGAAGGGCAGAAGGTCTTTGAAGCTCTTCATTACAAGTTTTAGTCACTTGTTAGATCCAATAGTATCAAATGATGAAGACTCTTTGCATATAGAAATATTTCCTCTCTAGCTTTTCATATCTTTATATAATGAGTGAGGTTACAAACAGGGAGACTTCCTTGATTGCAAAATTCTAAGTGCCAGGTGCTGTAATCCCAGCTACCCAGGAGGCAGAGATCTGAGGATCTTGCTTTGAAGCCAGCCAGGACAGGAAAGTCTGGGAGATGTATATCCAGTTAACCAGCCAAGAGCCAGAAGGGGAGCTGTGGCTCAAGTGGTAAAGTGCCATCTTTGAACAAAAACAGCTGAGAGTATGAGCCCTGAGTTCAAGCCCCAGAACTGGCACAAAATAAAAATCAAACAGGGTTTGGGAAGGTGGCTCAGTGGTAGAGTGCTTGCCTTGTATGCATGAGGCCCTGGGTTGGATTCCTCAGCACCACATAAACAGAAAAGGCCAGAAGTGGCGCTGTGGCTAGCCTTGAGCTGAGGGACAGTGCCCAGATCCAGAGTTCAGGCCTCATGACCACCCAAAAATATAACAATAATAACAATAAATCATTCAGGCCTCCGGGGACCATCCTTTAGGGACTGGCCTAACAAGTTACCTCAAAGTGCCCAGAGCCAGCCTTCCCTGAGCTCCAGCCTCTGAGTTCTGTTCACCAAAAATTGTCCTTGCTTTTATTAACACTAGACGAGTGAAGAGGAAGAAGAGGTGGAGGAGGAGGAGGAGGACCTGGAGGAAGATAGGAAATCACCAAAAGACGAGGAGAGTGAAGTGCCGAAGTCCCCGGAGCCCCCGCCCGTGCCTGTCCTGACTGTCACGGAGGGGCCACCCCTGCAGGCCCTCAGCCAGCCCTCGGGCTCCTTCATCTGTGAAATGCCCAACTGTGGGGCTGTAAGTGTCTGTTGTCTGGGTGTCTGGGATGAGCGAGGGCCTCGCAGCTGTGCCTAGCTCTAAAAGATGACACGTGCTCACAAGGGAGCACTTGCAACAGCGGGAGGGTGGCAGAGGTCACTCCACGCAGCCATTGGTCATTGAGCCAATAACGTATGTACAGGCCAGGTGTGATGCTGCCTGCTAATGCATAAGCGAGATCCCTGGAGTCAGGTGTGGTTGTGCACACCTGTAATCCCAGCATTTGGGAGGCTGAAGCAAGGGATTTCTCTTTTTATGTCCCTGGGCTGTGTGTCACTAAGGTGAGGCCCTGTTGGCTGGACCTTCCTTTTCTATCCTAATTACTTACCCCCACAGCCTGCAGCCTTGCCTGCCTACAAGGTTTTGCATATCATATGCTGCAAAGTGTTGCTAATTCAAATGCCACTAATTTGACATTTGAGCACTTTGTTACAAACATTTAAACTGTTTGTCTTTGTACTCTGTGGAGGCGGACAGATTTACTAAGCAAACTAATCATGTAAACAAGTCTGAAAGCTGTGCTGTGCAACACAGCCTTGGAGTTAACGGAAGGCCTTCCACAGTTGCATGGCCTGGCCAAAGGCTCTGGGTGGATCTTAAAGAACTGTGGTCTCTGGCTGGGAATGTGGCTTAGTGGTAGAATGCTTGCCTAGCATGCATGAAGCCTTGGGTTCAATTCCTCAGTACCACATAAACAGGAAAAGCCAGAAGTGGCTCAGGTGGTAGAGTCCTAGCCTTGAGCAGAAGAAGCTCAGGGACAGTGCCTAGGCCCTGAGTTCAAGCCCCAGGACTGGCAAACATAAATAAATAAATAAAATAACTATGGTCTCTCAGTAGTCACCTGTCCCCAACTGGTCTGAATTGGTGACATTTTCCCAAATCATGTCTCTTAAAGCCAGGTATGGACAAGTTCTAGAGGTTATTGCCCACATAAGAATGCTGTTTCTGGGAGCTGGAGCTATAGCTTAGTGGTATTATTGCTGTCTAGCATACATAAATTCCTGGGTTTGATCCCCAGCACTCAAAAGAATGCTACACAAGAATCCCATTGTTTCAAATTAGTGTTCTTAATCTGCTTGTCTAATATAACACTGTACTGAATGCTCTTTATTGAATCTGTCATTTAGATGAAGAAAGCAACAAGCGTTGAAATATTTATATCCTGAAGCAGAGATTCATTTGATTTACATTGAAGGAAAAAAACGAAAAAGCTTTAAGAATAAAAAAGATGTATATATTTTGCATTCGCCTTCAAGAGGCCATAAGAAATTGGTAGCATGTTTCTGTCTTGGGTGTTGAATGGCCTGGCCTGGTCCCCATTCCCGTCGCCATATGGCATAGGAGCCTCAGTGGAGGAATGACTAAGATGTGAATTTAAATGACAACATTTCTTGGTGAATTTTTTCAGAAATTGGATGTTTCCTCCATTCATAGTTGTAATGTACAGTACTTTTTTTTTTTAACTGCGCAGAAAGTCAATCTTTTACTTTGCCCAATCAGAAATGCCAAGCAAGATAAATAGTCTCAATCACTTTGAAAACTCAGAGGGAGAAAAGTATACTGCTTTTATTCCTTGCCTAACAATGAAGACTAGGAATTATGAAATCTGTGATAGACTGGGCTTTTTTTTCCCTCCCTAAGACTACAAACAAAGCCCCCAAACCAAATACAAAGCAACCCCTAAACTTAACAAATGGGGCTCTTAGAATTCAAGGGTATGCATTATATTCATTAGCAAAGCAATTTGGAACTGGGGTGACTTGTTCCCCACCACCAAGAATGTTGGACCGTGTGCACTGTCAGGCTGAGAGGGTTCTGCTAGTATCTGATAGGTGGGGGTCAAAGTACATTGTCTCATTAACAATGTATGCAGTCACTAAGAGCATTTGGTAACCTGATCTATTCATAAATTTCCGATCTTGGCTACCAGTAATTACCTTCATCTGCTATTTTTCACCACTGCACTTCAATATATGTATGTGCTCATTTATATTTATGTGCAAAGTGGACACACAAGCCCTTGTGCTTCCAAAAACTGTGTAATTAAAAAGTACAAAAGTGGAGTCACCAAAAATAAATAAAAAAAGCTGGGTGCCGGTGGCTCATGCCTGTAATCAATCCTAGGTACTCGGGAGGCTGAGATCTGAGGATTGAGGTTCAAAGCCAGCATGGGCAGGAAAGTCTGTGAAACTCTTATCTCCAGTGAACCACCAGAAAACTGAAAAGAGATGCTGTGGCTCAAGTGGTAGAGCACTCACCTTGAGCTGAAGAGCTCAAGGACAGTGCCCAGGCCCAGAGTTCAAGCCGACAAAAAGAAAAAGATAAAAATAAAAAGAGGGAAGGAAGGAAGGATCGTGCAAACCCTAAATGTCCATAGTGCTAAGGCTGACTAAGAAACCCTGCTTTATGGCAATATTTGAAACGCTGCCTAGCTCCTCCTCTGTATTAAAATTTGAGGATCTTTCCCATTTGCCTCCGCAGTGACCTACTTGACTGCACAGCAGCTCAGTGGTGGAGCACTTGCCTAGCATGCGTGAGGCCGGGGTTTCATCCCCAGCACTGCAAAAGCCAGCAGCACCAGGTTCATACCTGTAATCCTAGCTACTCAGGAGGCTAAGATGGGAGGATCCATCTTAAAGACAGCCTAGGCAGAAAAGTCCATGAGACCCTTATCTCCATTAAGCCAGCAAAAAGTTAGAAGTAGAGGCATGGCCCTGAGTTTAAGCACCAGTACCAAAATAAGTCATTAATTGATTGATTGATTTGGATTGATTGATTAAATGAAAAACCTACTGAGAGGGGCTATCCATGCATAGAGATCTGATATGTGAGGGCACCTCACTAGTGTCTTTAAAGTATGTTCCTGGGGTACCAGGACTTCCTGGGGGGAGATTTGGAGCCATCAAACTGGCTCCTGTTTCCATTTCAGTCAGACCATCTCTGCTTTTAACTTGAGGTTGAAGTAAGACTAAATTTGCTTAATAGAGAGGGAGGGAGGAAATTAGTTTTCAACTTAAAAAAAAAAAGACTTGGAAAGCTGGTCCAAGCCCCTCATTTTGCAGGCAGAAAAAAAAATTATGCAGAAGGTAAATGGCCTCTCAGCCTCTCTGTTAGCTATGACAGCAGCAGTCAGACAGACCTGGAGTCCCAGACTCCGGCACCAGTTGTCATTGAGACGGTGCCTTGATTGCTGCCTGTCTTCAGGTAACAATGGGAATTTTTCTAGCATTTGTGGTATTTGAGCCTGACTCTTTATGGCATTGACCCCAGCGTTAGCTTATGTCCCCCCATGCGCCTGAATTAGACATTGTTTCATGTATCACCTGTCTTAACCATGAGTAACTAACAACCCTAATTTCCTTTTCAGGACTGTAGATGTCATGTCACTCCCTTTCTTCCCCAGGTCTTCAGCTCTCGACAGGCGCTGAACGGCCATGCCCGCATCCACGGTGGTACCAACCAGGTGACCAAGGCTCGAAGCGCTGTCCCTTCTGGGAAGCAGAAGCCTGGCGGGGCCCAGAGTGGGTACTGCTCGGTGAAGAGTTCGCCCTCTCACAGCACCACCAGTGGCGAGACGGACCCTACAACCATCTTCCCCTGCAAAGAGTGTGGCAAGTAGGTAGACTTGAACCAGGGTCTGACGATGGGATCGTGGGAGTGACTGCTCTGTAGGCACCAGACAATGCCTGCAGGTTTCTCCAGCTAGAGAATCTAGACTCATCCTTCATATCATCCTGAGGCTGAACATGGCCATTCTGATGTTCTAGAGCCTGGAGGGATGGGCATCTTCAGATAGTGAAAGTCTCATAAGAAAATTCCATTCCTGGTCGGGCGCTGGTGGCTCACGCCTGTAATCCTAGCTACTCAGGAGGCTGAGATCTGAGGATCGCGGTTCAAAGCCAGCCCGGGCAGGAGAGACCGTGAGACTCCTATCTCCAATAAACCACCAGAAAACCAGAAGTGGCGCTGTAGCTCAAGTGGTAGAGCACTAGCCATGAGCTGAAGAGCTGAGGGACAGCGCTCAGGCCCAGAGTTCAAGGCCCACGACCGACTAAAAAAAAGAACATTCCTTGCCAAAAACAGTTCAAAAAAAAATCTCCAATTTCCACACCATATTCACAACTGTCACTCTGCATCCCTCCTGAGAATTTGAGAGTGGCTATAAAATATATAAGCAGAAGCTCTCTGTAGCAACACTGCCTCCCCCTCCCCTGAAAAAAAAAATAGTGCCCTTACTGCTACTGCTCACATTAGTGCCCAGGGCAGACATCACTAATCAATTACCACTCTTTGCTATCACAACTCCTTTTTTTTTAATCATGCTTCAAGCCTGGCACCACCAGTTGGTTAGAGTTGATTCATGAAATGAAACCCATCTGTCATCACTGTCCTTTTGGATATAGTTTTAAACAACATCTAAGGGGGAACTCTGACAGAATTTAGCAACAAGAACAGCTCACATTTACTGAGCACTTACTCTATTACATATTTCATGTGTGTGAACTCAGTTAACCCTCACACAACAACCCCGCATGATTCAGATCTGTCTTGATCCTTGTTTCACAAATGAGGACTGCAACTGACTGTCCCAGATCATACTGCCAGGACCAGTCAGAACTGAGCCTTGAGCCCAGCTTTGTCCAGATGCAGAGCGTAGATTCCTGGCACTGCTCTGCCCCTTCGCCTTGCCCTTGTTATTTACTTTAAGGAAGAAAAACTGAGCTGGGAAACGCATGCTTCCCTTTCATAGATTTTCCTGACTTGAGACTGTCACCTGGTCATGCAGGACACCCATGAGGTGTCTCGATGAGTTCCTCCTCCCATAACTTCTACTGACTCAAATATACCAACCACAAGTGTTACTGGAGGCATGCCAATTGGTGTCTGTTGAAACGGTCAGGAAAATGTCCCTAGTTACATGAGCAAGGCCAGCAGGACCTCACAGCCTCATAGACCACATCAGTCTATGAGCAGCATCGAGCAGATCCTCGCCGCTTACCTGGGGTTTTTTTGCACATACCAATTCATTTACTTGAGAATAATAGCCCTGTTCAATAAGTGCTGTGTGCATATGTGTATGCACACACACATACCCCAGTGCTGGAGCTTGAACTCAGACTCTTTTTCTCCCAAGACTGGTGCTCTATCACTTGAGCCACACTTTCACTTCTGGCTTTTTGCTGGTTAATTGAAAATAAGAGTCTCGTAGACTTTCCTGTCCTGGCTGGCTTTGAACCTTGAGCCTCAGACCTCAACCTCCTGAGTAGGATTATAAGCATGAGTTATAGCACACGGCAGGTGCTGCTACTAGCTTCTTTTCGAGCAGAAACTGAGGCAAGCAATGATTAGGCCGAGTGAGAATCAGTATACAAAAACTGTCCCGGCCTTGTTCTCTTAGCTGCTAGGCCCTGCTGCCTCTAAGTAAATCTACCTCTGATTGGGGGGCACTCACCCCACCATAGTGCTGTTTTTCTGCCAGGAAGTGCATGGGTAGGACAGAGGGGTTTGAGTGTTGGTGTCCACCTCTGCTCTGCAACCCTCCACAGCCTGCCCTGCCATCACTGCCCCACGTACTGGGGGGGGGGGGCATGAAGTTAGCCCCCTGTTGATCACTAGGCGGGCATAATGATAGAACAACCCTGAGCTCAACTGCTGTTCTAGAGAGGAAGTTTGGAAGCTCTAAGGGTCTTGTCAGTTTCCTCTGAAAGGAGCCAAAGCTGTTCCCTCAAACAGGCTCAGCTCCTGGCTCCACCAGCTGGAGACAAAGGATGCCTTGAAGAAAACTCCCTACAGATTGAGCAACCCTAATCCAAAAACCCGCACTACTCCCGGATCTACCACTGTGACCTTGCCCACAAGAGGCAAATGACACATGAAACTATTTCATGTACACGGCTATTTTAAATGTTTGTATAAAGTTACCTTCAGACCATGTGGACAAGGTATATATGAAACCTAAATGGAGATGTCTCATTATGCATATGCAAATACTCCAAAAGCTGAAAGCATTCTAGTGCCAAATATTTAGTGAAGGATATTCAACCTCCCTTACAAGTTTTCTTCTAGTGGTATGGATTAAATAGTTTTCTTAGCTTGTTTTGTTGTTAGTTTTTGTTTTTTTGGTCAGTTGTGGGCTCAAACTCTGGGCCTGGGCGCTGTCCCTCAGCTTGTCAGCTCAGGGTGAGCCCTCTACCACTTGAGCCACAGCACCACTTCTGATTTTCTGGTGGTTTGTTGGCCTTTCCTGCCCAGATTGGCTTTGAACCGTGATCTTCAGGTCTCAGCTTCCTGAGTAGCTAGGATTACAGGTGTGAGCCACTGGCACCCAGCTTCTTGACTTGTTTGATGTTGCTTGGGATCTTTTTTTTTTCAACCAGAAGTCTAGTTAAAATGTATGGGAAACAGAACTATTTCATGTTTTACAGAGTAGCGATAACTTTAGGCACATACAGGGTGTGGGGTGCAGCTGGTTGAGCACTTGCCTCGTGCACAGGCCCTGGGTTCCATCCCCAGCACAGCAAAAACACAAACCTTGGACAAAGATTCACAGGTTCCTGCTTTTAGCTGCCGGACTCATAGAGACTCCATGAAAACGTTTTTAACACATCCATGTAGGATCTATGAACTTTGTTTAACTCAGGTCTTAGAAGTGAGGTTTGCTTGTTTGCATTTGTGCTTTCAGGAGGGAATATTATGAAGTATTGATGCCACCCCTCTCTTCATTTTGCCACTATGATTGTATCAACCATTCAGCTTACCCACTGTCCCCCAAAGCAGCCCACCAAGACATGGCTGCCTTCCAGTGAAACTTCATTTACAGACACTAAGCTGGGGCTGACCACTGCCCACGGCTGGCAGATCCCTGGTATGAAAAATATGATGCCTTTTTGTCTCAGGTTCCTTAACACAATAGGCATTTTGCCACAAATCCCTCATTTGGGGAAGGGAGCCTGTGCTGCCCGGTAATTGTTTAGCAGCATCCCTGGCCCCTCCTTCTTTGAGGCTAAGATATTCCTCTCCTGTGACCACCAAAATGTCTCCACACATTTCCAGATGTTTCCTGGAGCGCACAGGAACCCCTGGGTGAGAGCAGCTTTTATTCTGTGGTCATCAATAGAAAACGATGCTAATACCACAGTCCCTAGTAACAAGGAACAGCATCAGGCACAGTCAATACAGAAGAGGCATTTGAGTTGACCCCGCAGGGTGACTTGAGCCCTTGAGAAGGCTGAGGTAGAGGAGACGAGTCAAACTGGAATGAGTGAAGCAGAGAAAAGGAGATGCACCAAGTGTGTAGCAGGCAGATAATTTCACAACAGGGGTATTGATGATGGCTGGGGAGCAGAGTTGAGGATTCTTCATGGAGCGGGCATGGTCAGTGAAGGGAGGAAGAAAAGGAGGCTGATGGAAAGAAGGGGCTATGGCTCCAGATGCACATGGACAGGAAAGCTTTGGAGAGGCCTCCTCCATTGCTCAGGAAGGAAGCCAGACATAGAGCCAGTGTTTGCCGGTCCCCACTCCCTCCTGAAAGGATCAGAGACAGTCCTCAGGCTGTCCCTGTAGAGCAGCGGGATTTCCCAGAACTTCCAGCTCCTTGTAAATGATCAGCCTCTCCTTTTTCTTTGGTTTCAGGGTCTTCTTCAAGATCAAAAGCCGAAATGCACACATGAAAACGCACAGACAGCAGGAGGAACAGCAGAGGCAGAAAGCGCAGAAGGCGGCTTTTGCTGCAGAAATGGCAGCCACGATTGAGAGGACTACGGGCCCAGTGGGGGCGCCGGGGCTGCTGCCCCTGGACCAGCTGGGTCTCATCAAACCCATCAAGGACGTGGACATCCTGGACGATGACGTCGTCCAGCAGTTAGGAGGTGTCATGGAAGAGGCCGAGGTCGTGGATACCGACCTGCTCTTGGATGACCAAGATTCGGTTCTACTTCAGGGTGACACAGAACTATAGAACCCGAAGGTCACCTCCATCTTCATCAATCAGGAAACCTGGACTGCTTGCTTGTTTTTGTAACCCTTTTAAACTACCTGTTTAAAAAGTGGTCATTTTATTCAGGTTTAGAGAAGAAGAAAACTCCAGTTTCTTTTCCTTTTATCTTTTTAAATTGTTTTTACGGGGGACTAGGGGGGAATAAATGATTGGCACAACTATCTTTAAGAGGTGTTTCATCCGGGCTACATTCTCATTTCCAGGAAGGAAATGAACCTCACCTTCGTGTTCCATGGCTTTCACATGTCAACCATCCCAGTCGCCTTCTGTCCCAAGGTTTGTGTGTGTGTGTGTGTGTGTGCACGTGTGTGTGTGTTTGTGTGAAGCAGGCTACTCTATACATGTTGGGCCCTTGGACCATGTTTTGCCACCAAGAATTATTTTTATCCAGCCCTGACCTTCCAGGAAGTGTTCTTTTTGTCTTGTTTTGTTCTGTTCCTAATACATATCTTTTTTGCAACATGGTTCATGGTCAGTGGAGTTCCGAACTTCCTTGGTACCGCTTGAAGTACTGTGAAGCCTCTCGCTGGGATTTTGCTAATTCATCCACTGGACTAAAGTTGATCTAGATGCTAGCCCTGAGCAATGGGCTCTTCTAACACATAAGCAATAGCCAATCCAAGGAAAAGTGCATGGAAAGCCAACACACATGGTTTCAGATATGCTTTAGTTACAATGTGTGCATTCCAACAACAAATGTATTCCTTTCAAGTCACTTCCCAAAGCATTTCTAGACTTCAGTAAGCTTCCTGAGGCTCTGCTCGGCCTCCCTCTGCCCCTGTTAGCAGGGTTGTTGTTTGTACTTGAAGGCAATAAATTTGTCCTAGCCTGGACTTTTTGTGCTGAGTCAAACTGTGATCCATCCCACTGTTAGTGCAAGAGTCAGACCAGGATACAGCCGCTGCACCGACGAGCCTGATCCTCTCCCTTCCCCTTCGGTGTTAGTGTCACTGAGCAACCCATGGAGCAGGTCTGAGGGCCTCAACCCTGCCTTGTTACACCCAGCTCCAGGTAAGTGTGGCTGTCCTCTGGGTGCATTAACAGCTGGACATTAGGAGGAATCTCAGCAGAGGTGAGGCAGGGTTGAGCCTCCTTTACATTCCATGCTGCAGAGAACCAGCTGTGGCCCCCACAACGCTACACAGCCAGAGGTTTTGGAATCTCAGGAAAGCCACGGACAGTAGGAAAACACGAAACTTTTCATTTCCATCATGGTTTTGTTTTTTTTTTAGCGATGTCCTGGGGGTTTCCTTCATCTTCCCCTTCAACAAGTGATTCTCTCGTGTTGAATCTAAGAAGTTTTGAGTGAGCTTCCTGGGCTCCGCACATGGGCTTCGGGGCAGAATTGCCACGAAACCACTCAACAGCCGTGTCACTGGCTGTCTCTGCTTCCTTCCACAAAGTCTGAGGTTGAGCCTCGGTGGGGCTATCATCTTTGGGAGGCAAATGTATTGCTTCTGTTTGCAGACTTGCCCAGCTGTTCCAGCTTTAAGCATTAGAAATAAATGGAATTACCACTGCAAAAATAATAGTAATATATATAAATGCACAATTTAACCTTAGTTTTTCCATGCAGTATAGCATTAGAATTTTTGACTTGAAAGAACCAAAGAACTCCTCCTTTGTGAGACAGTTCAAATACCTGCATTCATGTTTCTTTATTATCAACTAAAGGCATTGACTTCTTAGTAAAATTTTGCACTTTTTTTTTTCTGAAATGACTCTGCCTGCATGTACACATTGGGTTTTAGCTCCACTCCTACCCCACCCTACAGAACTTTTCTTTCTAAAGGTTAACATCTTCAACAGTTACTGTTTACTATCAGATGGTTTTTCATGAGTGAATTTAGACCTCTTTGAGAAAGCTTGTATATATAAAAAAAAAAGTTAACAGATATATTTTATGGAAAAACCCATCTTATTTTCAAATATATTTAACTGCTGTTATATTTTATTAGAGGAAGGTTGTAAATATTTTCTAGGAGTTCTATTGTAAAGAAAAAAGTATTTTTGAAAAAAATTAATGTAATTAATAAAAAAAGCAAACATTTTTAAATAGTGGTTGTGATTGCTTCCTGTTTTGGCTTTGTTATGTTCTATTAGCCAGTGATTTGCATGCCTTCCCTATCAGGATGTAATTTATTCAGGTTTGCACTATTATAAGTTGACATCATAATATCTAGTTGTGCTTAATTGTATTTTACTGGAATGGAGTCCCTTGGTCCATATCAAAGCACTCTGTATAACATATTCATAATTTTTTTCTTTTGTAATGTGTGTATTTTTAATAAGGATTTTATGTAACATTTTGGCAAAAAAGGACAGTATTTTCTAGTGAATTTTATAATAACATTTTGCTAAAAATGTTTCTTCCTGGGTCAGTTTTTGTTAAGATGAACCAAAAGTCTTATTTTACTGGGGGGTTAAAAAAAAAAGTTTGAAGCTTGAAAGCAAAGTTATATTTAAACATCCTATGTAACAAATAAAGATGTTTTATAGGCTTGTCCTAAAAAAAAAAAAAGGTGCATTCCTTAAATTTAAAAGGAAGGGGGGAAAAAAACCACCAAAACTAGGGCATTCTAGGTTGTTTCCTGTCCTGTTAAGAAGGTTGCTTTAGATGATCACATGTTTTGTCAGGAAGAGAACCAGGTGAATATTACTTAGGTTCCACTCACTAGCCTTCTCCAAAGTCATTACAGTTCCTACACATGGGCATTCATGTAACCAAATGCGCACTGTTATATTTATTTGTGAAAAACCTGATTCAATATTGCATCAGCTGCTCTGAAAATAAAATATCTTTCTGAGTTTCATTTGGCTTAAATATTCCTTCTTTTTAGCCATTGGAATAGCTTTTCTTGATGCTAGATAGATGCTCATTTGCCTGTGGGTGGATTTTGTGGATCATATTTAATTCTCAGTGAAGTGTCCCCATTGCAGAAAACCAGAACTAAGGTTTGTTGTTGTTTGTTTTTGTTTGTAACAGTTCTGGGGTTTGAAGTCAGGGTCTTGCACTTGCCAGGCAAAGGCTCTACCACTTGAGTCCCACCTCCAGTCCTCATTAATTTTTTTCTTTTTTTGTTGGTTGTGGGGCTTGAATTCTGGGCCTAGGCACTGTCCCTGGGCTCTTCAGCTCAAGGCTCAAGCACTCTACCACTTGAGGCACAGCGCCACTTCCGGTTTTTCTGGTGGTTAATTGGAGATAAGAGACTCAAAGACTTTCCTGCCCAGGCTGGCTTTGAACTGCAATCATCAGATCTCAGCCTCCTAAGGAGCTAGAATTACAGGCATGAACCACTGGTGCCTGGCCTCATTAATTTTTTTTTTTTTTTCTGTCGGAGATGGGGCCTGAACTCTGGGCCTGGGCGCTGTCCCTCTGCTCTTCAGCTCGATTGAACTATACAGCACCACTTCTGGCATTTTTCTGATCATGTGGTGCTGAGGAAGCGAACCCAGAAGGACCTCATATATGCAAGGCAAGCACTCTACCACTGAGCCACCTTCCCAGCCCCTATTAATGCTTATGTAACTGAGATGGCAGATACCATTACGGCTTTGCATTGGTTGAGATGAGGTCTTGCTAACTTTTTGACTGCACTAGCCTCAAACTCTGAGCGTCCTCATCCAGTGGATGAATCTCCTGAAGCGGTAGTGCCCACACTGTGTCTCTCAGGCTTACTACCACCGAGGAGCCTTCTCGTAAATCCTCTGCCGCATCCTCAACTGCACTTTACTTGCTTTGTTTGGCTTTCCTTGTTTTTGTTTTGCCGGTCCTGGGGGCTTGAAGACTTGAACTCAAAGCCTGGTCTCTGTCCCTGAGCCTCTTTTTTTTTTTTTTTATTTGGTCAGTCATAGGGCTTGAACTCTGGGCCTGGGCACTATCCCTGAGCTCTTCAGCTCAAAGCAGGCGCTCTACCACTTGAGTCACAGCACCACTTCTGGTTTTCTGTTGGTTCATTGGAGATAAATGTCTCAAGGACTTTCCTGCCCAGGCTGGCTTTGAACTGCGATCCTCAGATCTCAGTCTCCTGAGTAGTTAGGATTACAGGTGTGAGCCACCGGTGTCGGGCCCTGAGCCTCTTTTGCTCAAGGCTAGCTCTCTACTACTTGAGCCACAGCGCCACTTCCAGCTTTAATAAATAGTAGACAGTATTTTGTGTTTGTGATTTTGACTAAGTATCACTATTCCACAATACTTTGAAATATGTGACATTTATATAATCAATAATCTCAATAAAAAAATCTTCCCCCCCAAATTAAATAAACACACACACAAAAAATAATAATTTAAGCTTCTGAGAACACTGTGCCCTTAGAATATATCTTCATTAATAGCACTAGATCAGGATATCTCCCTGATTTACTTGCATCTCAAGTCTTAGATTTCCAATTTTTAATGTGCATTGATCTTTTATTTTATTTTTGGTCGGCTGTGGGGCTTGAACTCTGGGCCTGGGCGCTGTCCCTCAGCTCTTCAGCTCAAGGCAAGCGCTCTACCACTTGAGCTGCAGCGCCACTTCCGGTTTTCTGGTGGTTTATTGGAGATAGGAGTCTCACGGTCTCTCCTGCCCGGGCTGGCTTTGAACTGCGATCCTCAGATTTCAGCCTCCTGAGTAGCTAGGATTACAGGCGTGAGCCACCAGCGCCCGGCTGCATTGATCTTTTAATAGCCAGTAGCAAACTCAGGAAGAAATCTAAAATTCTGATTTTTTTTTTTTCTTGAACTCAGGGCCTGGGCCCTGTCCCTGAGCTCCTTTTTGCTCAAGGCTAGCACTCTACCATTTGTGTCACAGCGCCACTTCCAGCTTTTTCTGTGTATGTGGCACTGAGGAATCAAACCCAGGGCTTCATGCATGCTAGTCAAGCACTCTACCACTAAGCCACCTTCCCAGCCCAAATTCTGAATTTTTATACAGAATTTATCCCCTAAGTATTGCATTCTTGTTGAAGACTTTAATCTTGGGTTTGTTGTTGTTGTTGTTGTTTTTTACTTAATTTTAGTCAGGATACAAGGACACATGCACCTCCATGTTCATTGCTGCACTGTTCACAATAGCCAAGTTATGGAAACAACCCAGATGCCCCACTACAGATGAATGGATTCATAAATTGTGGTACCTATGTACAATGGAATATTACACAGCCATTAGAAAGAACTAAATAATGGCATTCATAGGGAAATGGATGGAACCAGAACAAATCATGCTGAGTGAAATAAGCCAAGATCAGAGAGACAAATGGCACATGGTCTCACTGATATGCAAATGTTAAAATCAAAACACAAGATACGACAAAGTAAACAGGACTCAAGAAGCAAAGGAATTCTTTTTTTTTTTTTTTTGGTGGGTTGTGGGACTTGAACTCTGGGCTTGGGCACTGTCCCTGCGCTCTTCAGCTCAAGGCCAGTGCTCTACCATTTGAGCCACAGTGCCACTTCCAGTTTTCTAGTGGTTTATTGGAGATAAGAGTCTCATGGACTTTCCTGCCCGAGCTGGCTTTGAACTGTGATCCTCAGATCCTCAGATCTCAGCCTCCTGAATAGCTAGGATTACAGGTGTGAGCCACTGGCGCCTGGCAAGAAAATTTTTTTTAAATTGGTCATTCTAGTAACAGTGTGTATTTATGCAGTGTTGTTTTTTTAACTGTATTTTTATTTGTCTTTTCTTTCTTGGTACTGGGGATCGAACCCAGGACATTGCACTTGCTAGGCAAGCACTTTGCCACTGAGCTACATCCAGTCCTGCAGTGTTTTAAACTTAAATTCAGCTTCTAGTTGTACAGTACTATTATTCATTTATTCTTGGTCATTCCCCATGAATCACCCTGTACCAGGCGCCATTCAATATTATCCATGGGGCAGGGGCAGAGGGGAAAGATGGCTCTATGATTCCTTCACTTTGAGGAAATCGGTATCTTGAAAGAACAAATGGGGTGGGGTGGGAGGGTGTCTAAACTGATCCAGTTCCACTACTGTGTGTGTCTGAGAAAGACAGACACCTAAAGTTTAGGACTACCTAAGGTCAATTCTGAATTCCATGGACTCTCAGTCTATGTATGGATTCTAGAAAGGTAAAAAGAGTTTTCCATTATGTTAAATTGCATATGTGAAAGCACTCTACTGAAATAGAACTGTTTGCACAAACGGGGAGGAGTTGTACTTCAACAAATGCAGTTATAAGCCGTTGTTGGACTTGGAATTAAATTATGATGGCCATTAACAACCAGAGAAAATAACCTTTGGCTCGTAAAGGCAGCCGCTGTAAATTCTCACATGTTAGGGTAACGTAAGGAAATGCCTCAAGAAGATCGGTAGGGCAGAGATAGACCAGAGAGCTGGAGCACAAGAACCCCCACAGCAAAGAAAGTTACGGAAAACATAACTTCTATCTCAATAAGGTCAGGGCTTAGGATTTGGATTCAAAGGTGGCGGGAGCTATGTCCCTCCTCCTGAAGCATGATTCGTTACGTTTGAAAACATGGCTGGAACTCAAAACAGCTGAAGCAACCTGGTCCTCGAGCCGGGTGTCCATTCGCTCCAAATGTGGACGACTCACGTCTCTGTGGTTGTTTCCGTGCCGGAACACGAGGATACACTCTCTCCGCCCAACTCTATCGTCCGATGGCGTCGCTGCGACCCCGGAAGTGGTCCGGAGAGGTCAGGGCGGCAAGATGGCGGCGCGCGTAGCTCTGGGTGCTGTGTCCCGGCACCTGAGGCAGGTGAGGGGTCGCTGAGGAAGCACGAGGGGGGGGACAGGCGGGCAGGACTGCTGCTGAGTCTCGTTGACACCCCCTGCTTATTACTCACCTAGGGCTGTTTAGAAGATGAGGCGAAGGGGGCTGGCTCTGGCCCTCTCGGGGGGACCCAGGGCAAAGGCAGGAAGGACCGCGGCGCGTGGGCTGGAATGTTCCAGATCCCCGCTTTAAAAGACCAGCAGCCCGGGGCTGAGCCCGCGCGGGCCTTGCGCGCCCTCCGCGGAACTTGAGGAGATGTCCTCCCGACATCCGGGACATCGCGGCTGTCGAAGGCGTGAGTGACGGAAGTCCTCCTCCTCCAGGAAGCAAAGCTTTCCCTACATCCGGGACCTCGCTGCAGGCTGCAGTCTCAGGGCTGAGTGCGGAAGGCCTCCTCCAGGGAGCCGGGCACTCGCCTGGAGGACAAGGACTCCAAAATACTTTTGATTTGTGTGGGTCAATTTCAACTCTCGTGTTTAATTTTTAGAAAATCAAAACAGGGCCGGGTGCCGGTGGCTACTCAGGAGGCTTGAAATCTGAGGATCGCGGTTCAAAGCCAGCCGGGGCAGGAAAGTCCGTGAGACTCTCAGCTCCAATAAACCACTAGAAAAAACCGGAAGTGGCGCTGTGGCTCAAGCCTTGAGCTGAAGAGCACAGGCCCAGAGATCAAGCCCCACGACCGACAAAAAAAGAAAAAGAAAATAATACTCATTGGGCTGGGAATGTGGCTCAGTGGTAGAGTGCTTGCCTCGCATGCATGAGTCCCTGGGTTCCATTCCTCAGCACCAGACACAGAAAAGGCCGGAATGGCGCTGTGCCTCAAGTAGTAGAGTGCTAACCCTGAGCTGTAGAGCTCAGAGACAGATCCCAGGACTAGAGTTCAAGCCCCATGACAATAATAATAATGATAATAATGTCTTCATGTTTTTCTAGAAATTACTTCCTAAATGAAAAGTTTCAGTGAGCAGTGGCAGTGTTTTACACTTTTGCAAATATCTTTAATTTCTGGCTTAATAAAAGACAGAGTTTCCTGTTTGTGTTCTACACTCTATCCTTTGCTTTATGTCTCCCACGCGTGCAGCCTTGGGGAAGCATCACTGCTGATGACAGAATGGAAGTAGAGACGTTTCAACAGTCTTGAGGTCATTATATCCCAGAGTCCCAAAAGTGCCTTGAGGGCTTGGTACCAGAGGTCCACCACAACAGCTTGAGAACCACTAAGCTTAAGAAAAATCAGATAGCTGTAAGGTTGAATTTTTTTCATTTATTTATTTATTTATTTTTGGTCTGAGATCAGGACTCAAACTTGCTATCTGATGCTTTTGCTCATTGGCTGGCACTCTATAACTGAATCACCCCACATACCTTTTACTACCTTCTATCATGCCTGATTTCCTGTCTTTTTTCCCCATGAAAAGCTTTTGCCTCCGACTTGGAGAGAGAGAAGAACAGTACTAAGCATCGACTTTTAAAATATATTTAGGTGACCATCAGCTCTTTCTCTTTCTCTTCATTTGTGCTAATCTGTTTAAATCTTCATTGTATTTTTTTTGGGGGGTGGGGGGTCCGGTCGTGGGGCCTGAACTCTGGGCCGGATTGCTGTCCCTCAGCTCTTCAGTTCAAGGCTAGCGCTCTACCACTTAAGCCACAGTGCCACTTCCGGCTTTTTTCTTTTTGTTTATGGGGTGCTGAGGAATCGAACCCAGGGCCTCATGAATGCAAGGCAAGTGCTCTACCACTGAGCCACCTTCCCAGCCCCCCCATTGTATTCTTTTTATCATTTAAGAATATGCATTTTATACAACTTGTAATCCTTTACAAATAGAAAACCACTAATTCACCAAATCTATTCAATATCATGAGTTTTCAGTGTAAAGTCCATTAGATGCAATTACTTTTGGGTTTTCTGCAACTTTTTTTTTTTTGGTCGGTTGTGGAGCTTGAACTCTGAGCTTGGGTGCTGTCCCTCAGCTCTTCAGCTCAAGGCGAGTGCTCTACCACTTGAGCTACAGCGCCACTTCGGGTTTTCTGGTGGTTTACTGGAGATTAGAGTCTCATGGTCTTTCCTGCCTGGGCTTTGAACCAAGATCCTCATATCTCAGCCTCCTGAGTAGCTAGGATTACAGGCATGAGCTACCGGCGCCCGGCTCTGCAACCTTTTTATTTATTTATTTATTTATTTTTTTTTTTTTTTGGGGTCCGGTC